GGAAATTTACAAAATATCTTCATGGAACATGATCTTCACTTAATAATGATTTTTGGCATAAAAGAAAAATCAATAATTTTGACCCATACAATGTATTTTTGGCTATTGCTACAAATATACCCCAGCGACTTAAGACTGCTTTTGTGCTGCAGGGTCACATATGTGTATTTTAAGTCATTTTAAAGGCTATTGTTTGCTTTTATTACCACAAAATTACCAGATTACCAAAATAATCGTTAGTGACCGTACAAGTCAATCATTTTCTGTGGAAATCAACAGCATGTCACACACTGTAGACCGTAAACGAGAGTCTTTTAAAGGGATAAATCATGCTGTGTTGGAAAGAGAAGTTGGTGTGTCTGTGTTTCATTGTATGTTCATTTGTCCCAGTGGTGCCACACATAACTGATGCTATTCAGGAGTGGGTGATGCGTCAAGCTCAAGTTCCCGTAGACGACGATGGCGTTGAGCCCCAGGTCTGCGTCATCGAGGTGAGACGAGAGCTGGACACTGCATTTGATGGGATGCATGTTTGAACGGGTGTCTGAGGTTTTGATGTGCTTGCAGTTGGGCGGTACAGTCGGAGATATAGAGAGCATGCCCTTCATCGAAGCCTTCAGACAGTTTCAGTTTAAAGTGAAGAGAGAGAATTTCTGCAATATTCACGTCAGTCTGGTACCACAGGTGAGGATTATATGCTTTCCCGTCGGCGCACACACTACAGTGCATTATAGAGCATTATATCACATGAGTGACATACGGTCTCGCCTGTGATGTCCAGCCCAGCGCTACAGGAGAGCAGAAGACCAAACCCACGCAGAACAGTGTGAGAGAGCTCAGAGGACTGGGACTGTCACCTGACCTGGTGAGTCAAGCTGCACTCAGAATTTCTGCATGCAATTTCAGTGTATGTTCAGGAATCTAGAGGACTCCTCAGAGTGGGCTTTAGTAACTGTCTGCTTGCTAAGACCCTCTCGGAGAGGTCGAGCGTCTAAATGGATGCTTCCAGCGCATCTAAAGCCATCAAAGCAGCCTTTTTGTAACATTCAATGCGTATTTTCGATCATTTTCAAGTTTTTGTGTGTGAGTGTGCAAGGAATATGAGTTCTGTGCAGTTAAAAGTTACAGATATTTAGCCTACTTATGTCACTTACCCTGTTAAATATTTGTCTAAAACATATTTAGATACTCATGCAACACCTAAAAAAGATTGTCGTATTATTAAAAAAACACATAAAACCATGTCATATTTATTTTATAGAAATAATACACTTCAGCCACAGCTTTGCAAGGTAAGTTTATTAGGTTTCAAATGGTAGACAAATATACAAAATAAGTGCTGCCAAACGATTAATCGCGATTAATCGCATCCAAAATATTATGTATATATAAAGACACGCACATACAGCATATTTAAAAAAATATATTTACATGTATATATTTATATTCATATAAATTATATCATATATAAATATATTTAATATACAAATATAACATATTTTTCTTAAATATATACATGCACGTGTGTGTATTTATATATGCATAATAAATATACACCGTACACACATGTAAACAAAAACTTTTATTTTGGATGTGATCAATCGTTTGACAGCTCTAATAAATATTGTTCAAAATGAAGACAAAGAATTGTGGTACTTTCTGATTGTCAAGCATTAGTGGATCATGTCCATATTTAATGTGATGAGCCACACCTGTGTTGGTTCCTGCGATCAGAGTTCTGAGTCGTCTTTTGCTCTTTCTCTTGCAGATTATGTGTCGTTGCTCCACTCCACTTGAAAACTCGGTGAAAGAGAAGATCTCCATGTTCTGTCACGTGGAGCCTGAACAGGTTAGTCTGGATCACACAGGACTGAAAACCACCGAAGCAGTTGAAATAACAGTCGAACATAGGCCTGGGCGATAAAACGGTATCGGTATTTATCGACGGTACACCTTCATCGATAATCACCGGAAAAACGTTCTATATAGCGCAGGATAGTTTCATGCTCGTTTCATTTAAAGGCGTGTGTTATGAGTGACAAGCAGACGGCACACATGAACACACAAACACGCTGAAATGAGTGCCGTGCCTGTCTGCGAAGAGGAGACTATGAATCAAAATAAGAATATTAGTCTAATTTAAAATAATAATTCGCATTCAAATGCAAAACCGGTGCATTTGAATTTTAGGTGTGCGTTGTATATTCAAAATATTAGAGAAATATAGAAGCTCGAAGCGGAGAAGATATTGTTTGGGTTCAAACCGAAACCAAGCCATTCTCACAGAACGCATATTCTCCGCATTCTTGCGATGCACAACTATGACCGCTGCGCTCGGGTCTCGCACAAGAGATGAATAGAAAGCCATGTAAAGTTAAGAGGTTCAACTTTGTCTGGAGAATTTGTGGGGGTTTTAATTCCATTCCACTGCGTCTCATATGTTTTTACATGCAATCGTGTGATGATCGACGCTTCGGTGATTTGTAGCTATGCATAAATACATGATACTGTTTTGTTCATAATTGTTTACGCAATTTACAAAATTATATTTGATTTATATGTGCTACTTTAGACATTATGCATATTTTTATAGACGGTTATGGTTTCATTGCATTGAATAAACAATTTAACGCGGTGCATCATTTTGCTCATTGCGCCCTCCTGTGGCCTCAGAAGACAAGCCAAAAATTTCCTTAAAGGGGTCATATGATGCGATTTCAATGTTTCCTTTCTCTTTGGAGTGTTACAAGCTCTTGGTGCATAAAGAAGATCTGTAAAGTTGCAAAGACTAAAGTCTCAAATCCAAAGAGATATTCTCATCATTATCAGCTTTAACTCGTCAGTGCTGGCAAATGACCGTGGTATAAACTGTGGATTATCCCTTACGTAACAGCTCGTTAACGGTCTAATTCTTAGGGCTGTGATGATAAATTGATGAAGAATAGATTCGTGGACTGATTCTGAGATCTTCCGAATGCACCGTGATTCTCTCTGGATTCGATTCCGAGTTTAGATTCTAACAGCAGATGGCGCTCTACTCTAGTTTTTATCCGCACACTCAAACGCTCGTGAAGAAGAGCGCTGAAGAACTGTAATTTCACCTCGGCTCAGAATGCTTTTATGACGCGAGATTAATGTAAACACAGCCCACTGTGAACACGGTTGTAATTCGCTTCAACCTTTTCGAATTTTATGAATGATTTAGGTTCAAGTGCGTGTAAGGATTTGGAAACGAGCAGAGTACGGCTGTTTCTAAAGCATGCAGCGCCATCTGCTGTTCAAAACTAAGCTCAGAATCGACTTGAGAAAGAATCGCGATGCATTTGGAAAATCTCAGAATCGATCCGGAATCATTTCTCGATTCGCGGTGCACCGATTTATTTTCCCAGCCCTACTAATTCTACCTTTAAAGAATAGTTTATCTTTAAAGGGATACTCCACCCCAAAATGAAAATTGTCATTAATCACTTACCCCCATGTCGTTCCAAACCCCTAAAAGCTTCGTTCATCTTCGGAACACAATTTAAGATATTTTGGATGAAAACCGGGAGGCTTGTGACTGTCGCCATTTTGGAGAGTATCCACTGAAACGGAAACTGCGTATGCTGTTCTACTTGTATGTGTCAGCCACACCACACGGTTTGTGTTCAGTGGATATTCTCCAAAATGGCGCTACGGTGGAGACAAATTGTTGAATAAAGTCGTTATTTTTGTTTTCTTCACATACAAAAAGTATTCTCGTCGCTTCATGTTACGGTTGAACCACTGATGGCAGATGGACTATTCTGACGATGTTTTTCATACTTTTCTGGACCTTGACAGTGTAATTTACTTGGCAGTCTATGGGACAAT